CAGTGCTGTCACACCACGAGTGCTGCCCGAGCTCCAAACCCAAGGCTGGTTCATCCTCCTGGAGCCCCCTCTGAGCACAGTTCAGACAGGCAGGAGGTGGGCTGGAAGGTTTTCTCCAAGAGAATTCCAGGGAAACGTGAGATGGACATCCTGGGGGGAAAGGGCACATTTCAGTTACATTTCATTTCCATCATGAGCACTTCCAGCCATTCCAGAGTCCCAACCAGCCCAACCCTTGGAGCACTAGTCCAAACCTGACATCTAGTGGCTGCTCAGGGGCTCAAAAATCTGCTGCTGACTTTAGGTAAACATCCAAATTCTAGAACAGAGCAAAAACAGAAATTACCTTGGCACTAAGCACGTTCCTCCAGTTTTCAAGGAGAAATGGGATCCTGAAGAGACTGAAAAGACTCTGACAATTAATTAAAAATAAGCAACAAAACATTTATCACAGGTTTTCTGTAACCTCAAAAGCCTTTTTTTACTTTACTTGTTTACCATTACAGGCCATTTTTGTTACTGCATTTCATGATTTATCCCAGGACCGTGAAATCAGGAAAAGAACCAGATACTTACAACAAATGGGATTATCCCTGTGTCAGCCTTGTTACATCAGGATACAGCAGACAGGACAGGGATTGAAATTAAGTATTTGCTTCAGGTGTTTCCAGATGAATACTCAAACTCAGTTATATATTTGGGGGAATAAAATAATTTATCAAAGGATTTACTTCTCCAGTGCTCCAGGCCAAGCTCCTTAAGGCAAATAATGACCTAGAACCAGGATGTCCTGAGCTGGAAGAGACCCACAGGGATCAAGTCCAATTCCTGGCCCCAAGAATCCCACCATGGGCATTTTACACCTGATATGAGCCCACACAGACATTTCCATGAACTCCCACGGGAATGGGACAGAGTTATCCCGTTCTAATTCTTCCAAAGGGGAATTTCTTCCTGGACTCACAGCTGAGGACTGGAAACGCCACGCTCCAGAGGCCATGGGACGGCAGCCACTGAACTGCCCTGTTCCAAGCCAACCTCGTGCTTGACTCTATTGCAAATTATTGCATGGGGTTCTTTCTGCTGTTTTTCCATTTGTATTCCTGAGAAAACACCAGCCTGGCACTGGGGTGTGTTCCCAGAGCCGATATCTTCAAAGCACCTGCCAATGGCGGTGTTGTTATCAGCCCGGCCCTGAGCATTACCTCTCCTCAGGCCCCCGAGTTCTTCCGCAGGATCTTTGAAGACTATTTGATTATCCAATCAGCTCTCCATGTGCTAACACTCAGAGTTAGGCACATCAAAAAGGAGGAGGGAAGGAAGGATTTGTCAGAAGCACAAACAATGAGCAGGAGCAGGAGCAAATGGGCCATTTGTGAGGAGGGATGGGGATGTTTTGAACCAGTTATTTGGAAAAACTGCCTTGATCCTGCTGGCATAAATCCCCCATTTCTTCAGCAAACACCTCAGCTGTGCTGATAAAGACCTCAGAGCTGCTTTTCCTGCGTAAATGGAAGCGGTGGCAGCTTCTAGAACCATTAAATGGCCACAAGAGCAGAGCTGGCCTCACTCCTAACCCAGGCTGCTCTCTCTCCAGAAGAAAATGGGCTCCCCACCCACCAGCACACTTGGGGAACCTTCTAGAAACATTATCTACAATTATTTTAGACGGTTTCCTTAACCAGGAATGGAATCTCCTGTTTTTCTTAGCAAAAGAAACTTCTTTGAATTAATCCAGCTGAACAAAACCTGTCTGGCTGACAGCTGGACTCCAAGTGTGGTTCAGCTGTGAGACAAATTAACACTTATTTCACCCAAAGTTCATGGAATCATGGGATGCTTTGGGATGAAGGGACATTAAAGCTCATCCAGCTCCAACCCTGACACCTTCCACTGTCCCAGGCTGCTCCAAGCCCTGTCCAGCCTGGCCTTGGGCACTGACAGGGATGGGGCAGCCACAGCTGCTCTGGGCACACTGAGTGAGGGCCTCCCACCCTCACAGGGAACAATTCCTTCCCAATATCTAATCTAAACCCACTCTCTTAGATCAACTTAGAATTTGTATCAGTAATTTAATCGACTTAAAGGGTTTTCTAGGGTTATCTGATAGCATTTTTGTAGCCACAAGCACCAGCTGAGTCGCAGCACACAGCTCAAGGCTCCATTTCATGACAGGACAGAGGAAGGAGCTCAGCTGACAGGTCCAGCTCAATGGGCAGTGTCCAGTGAAGGAGTTCAGGAAAGGTCCTGGAAGCCTGGAATGCTGCTGGAGATGGCCTGTGGCATCTGGCTGGGTGTGATCAATCATGGGATACCCTGCAGCAGCACAGAGAGCTCTTTGTGCTTTCATTCTAACACAGCTCAGCAGAGTCTTTCAGAGCTTGGAAGTATCACAGAACATCTGACAGCTGATCAGACTCTGCTCCTAATGAACTGGGGCATTCCCAAACAGGAGTTCTAATCTTTTCTGATAGGAAATCTGATTTTTTTAACTGGAAAAGCTTAATTACACGACGAGATAGAGGCATGAGTTTCTCTGTTCCTTTATTGTAGTTGCACACTAACAATGTAAAATGCAGCAGCTGAAGGGTTCTATACATCAGGGAAAAACTCTGGGGAAGGGCCTGTATCCCTGGAAAACATAAAACATTCCCTGTTCCAGGTGTTGTCTGCAGACAGTGATTTCAGTTATGGCCAGGCAGGTAACACACATTAAATACACAACATCATAAAGGCCACAAAAACAAAGAGATACACAAAGGAAAAAAGAAAAAGAAAAAGCCAAGATGTGCCAGGAAATACAAGTTAAAACATCCCAAATTAAGGCATGAGGAGACCCTTCATCCAAAGCAGAATTCCAGTCCTCTAAAACCCTGTGGAGATGAAAGCAAACTCCAATTCTGCAGCTTCCAAAGCCAGGGGAGACCCTCCTGTCATCCCTGACAGAAAAGGCAGCACAAAAGTGGCCAGGAACATGTGAAGAGTGAAAGTTCTGGAATGCAGGAGCAGGGATCAAGCATTCCAACACCAGAGGAAGTTGTCCCCACTGTGAAGTCACCCAGGACGAGGTGAGAGCAGCATTTCAGAGGAATGCTGAAAGGCAGCTGGAATCAGACCAGCACAGACCTCCAAACCTCCTCCTGCCTTTGCAGGGAGTTGTCCCAGAATCATTCCTGTGACAGTCTTTAGTTCCTGGGACTTGCTGCCCCAGGAATGCCTCCCAGGGCAGTGTTTACTAATAAAGTGACTCTTATGCAAGGAAAATACAAATATGTGCTTTGGCCCTTTTGTACTGTGCCACCCAAAAGAGCCTTTTTAACTTAATTGTGCAAAATCAGCTCTAACCCAACAATCAAATAATTTTTCCACACACATCTGAGAGAATAAGGCACAGGAATTCTATCCCATCTCTTGATTTAAACACAATTATTTTCCTAAAGTTTACATTCACAAGGTAAATAAAGTCATTGTAACAGGAGAGTTAGAACTGGAAAACAAACAAACAAACCTTAGTGTGTTCATTTCCAGATTAATTCCAACAATCTGCCCTGCAGCTGAGCTCCTACCTGCCTTTAGGAGATGCTAAAACACTACACATAAATGCAGGGCTCAAAGAAGAAACAGCAAAATAAATGTAAAACCCCTGTAAAACTTTTTTTTTTTTTTGTAGCAGAGTATTTTTTATCTACATTAACCCTGTTTCCAGGTATTTGAAGTGATCAGTGCTGAAATTGGACTTTCTTCATTTTCTGTCAGTAAAAATAGGTGTGATTTGATGGAAATATGGACACAGCTTAACTGCATCACTGAGTAATTCACTACTCTCTAACAAAGCCTCCATGGCAATACTTGAACAAAGCAAATCTCTGTGAGAACTTTAAATAAATCTCTCTGAGAACTTGAACTGGATCACTGGGAAGGGAATATCCCACATTCCCTCTGATGGATGAAGGGTGGTTCAAAAGGGATTTACACATCCAGGAGGAAAATCTGATTGAGTGGAGCAAGCCATGGAGAACTCAGAGGCTGTGAGGCTGCTACAGAGTTCCAGAGCAGCTGAAGCTGAACAGTTAAACCCTGGCAGTTCCCTAAAATAATCTGGTTTTTGGGTTTGTTGGGAAAGCTGGATCAACTAGTGATTTTTCGCAGTGGATAAGGGAAATCCAAAAACTCAGTGGAAATTACAAAAGCAATTTAAAAACTGAGCTTTTAAAACAAAAGCTTTTAAAAGATTCATTCATAAATGATAAGGAGATTGATGCACCTACAGCCCAGTGCTGCTGAGGCAGCTCTGGTTTTAAATAAAAGGCAACATTAAAATGTCTTTGTACTACAATTTTTTTCTAATAATGAGTAGAAAATATCTGAGTTGCTGCCATCTTACTCCAGAGTCCTCCTCAGAAAGTGTCTGCAAAAAACTGAATAAATATCTCAAACTTCATGACAGGATCATAATTATTATATATTCAGGCAAAAAGTAAAATAATTCTTTTCCTGTTCCCAGAACTGTAGATATTCCTTCCAGCTTTGTTTTGGAATGTATCATTCTCCAGCAAAATCATCATGTGGTTTTGTGGCTAAAAATCTGTGTGATGATGGCAAAGCCTGCAGAGTTCAAATGAGATAATGGAATCAGAAAATCATGGAATGGTTTGTGGGGAGGGGACGTGAAAGCTCATCCAGTGCCACCCCTGCCATGGCAGGGACACCTTCCACTGTCCCAGGATGATCCCAGCCACATCCAAAGGGAGATAGCACAACCAAAATGGAAATGTTCCCCCAGGCAGGGAGGGCTTGGGGGAAGTGCTGAAACCAAAGAGCTCCACTGAATTCCCAACAGGAAAAAGATCCTGCATTGGGATGGAGAGAGATTTCCTTCCTTTCAGCACCCAGAGTCACTCAATTGAAGTGACCACAATGCAGGGGACAAAGGCACAACTGTGGCACCAGAACAACAGCCTGAGGTAGAGCTATTGAAGAAGGAAAGGCAGGATAAACCAAAGAGCTCCACTGAATTCCCCACAGGAAAAATATCCTGCACTGAGATGGAGGGAGATTTCCTTCCTTTCAGCACCCAGAGTCACTCAATTGAAGTGACCACAATGCAGGGGACAAAGGCACAACTGTGGCACCAGAACAACAGCCTGAGGTAGAGCTATTGAGGAAGGAAAGGCAGGATCTGGGCACTCAACTGCTTCAACAAGATTATCTCAAACCCTTAAAATCATCAGGGTCACACTGAAAAGTGTTAAGGTGCTTTGAAACTGAATACTTGGACTTCAAAAAAAACCAAAGTACCAATTGGAAAGGTCTGGATTGCCAAACCAGGTCCTGGCTTCACTGAATCCTACCAGGAATCAGAGGGAGGAAAGAGACTGGACCCATGGAGATCACACAGGCAGAGCTGCTCCTCATCAGAAATCTGGGACAGGAATTCAATCTGCTAAATACAGCAGAGCACAAAGGGCCAGAGAGAAAGGTGCCTGAGAGAAAATTAGGTTTAGTAGGATGTGAGAGGTCAGTGATCCCTGGGGCTGCTGGACCACAGAGCTCCTGGGAAAGGCTCAGAGCTGGCAGCTCTCACAGCAGCTCTGCTTGGTCCACAAATCAATTCTAACCCCCACTGGACCTTGTTACCACAAGGTGCAATAAAAAGAAACTGGTCCCCACTGCTCCTGAAGCTGGCTAAGTGTTTTTATAGGAGAATACATCTCCAGGCAAAACTTGGAAGAGAGCAATGGTGCTCTCTGAGTTACTGAAATAAAAGCCCTTTCTCAGTGCTGTGTTTTGCCTACACTCTCCTAGCACTGATTTGAGGAATTGGTTTGGGGTTTTTGGCCTCCTAATCCCACTGGAAGGGTCAGCTGGGCCTTATCTAATCTTTCTTTCTTTTGATGTGATCAGTTTCCTGGGATCAATTGAACATTTTCACTTAATTTGCTGATCTTGAGGTACTGGTGAATTCTCATCTCCTCCCTTCTCCTGATAGATTATTAACACAGAAAACAAAAGCTGCCAAAGCTTCTACAGTTGTTAAAAGGTTTTAGAAAAAAAGTCTTCTGGCTCCTGGTGTCCTTACAGTGGGCATTCTGTGGCACCCACATCAAACAGAATGTGCAGCCAACAGAATGGAAAGAGATCCTGGAAGTCATCTTTGTCCTTCTCCTCTCATCCAAGGAGAAAGGAAGAAGGCAAAATGTCTCTGAGACAAGCTGGTTCCCTTCTAGCTCTCTTCCCAGACATCAAACAATTCCCCAAAAGGACCTGATCAGTCCTGTACTGATATCAAAGTACTGATATCTTTCTTTTCTTCCCACTTCCTCCTTCTTAACAATTTTTACCCAGGATTATTAATTCACGCAAGGCACTGAAAGAGCATCTGAAGAACCACAGAACAATTCAGACAAGGAGCAGGGGACGAGCTCTCCTGTCCTTATTTTTAACTATCTTAATTCCTTCTTGACTCCCTGCCTCAGAACAAGTCAATTCATTAAGGGTTAATATCCCTCACGTCTATAAAAAAACCAACACTAAAAAACCCCACAGCTTCCCTAGGGACAGCCAAGGAGCACCGGCAGTGGGAGGGCACAGAAAGAAGGGGAAAAGCTGGAACATGCCGAGGGTGCTGGGCCAGCTAGGGGCTGAGCTGGGGGCGGAAGGACGAGCGCACGGTGCGGTTCATCAGCGGCTGCAGCGGGCGGAAGTTGTCCACCATCCTCCTCTCCTCCTCCCCGTCCGACGTGAACAGCAGCGTCCGGAAGGCCTCCAGCTGGGAACCACAAATGGCCACCCCGGTCACTGCCCAAGAATCCCCCACGTTGGGAATTCGTGGTGAAGGACAAGAGTTTCTTCTTGGAGAGGGGGGGTAAAATCAAAGGTAGCGCTAGGTTTGAGTTCTGAGGGGTTTTGGCACACACATCTGCTGGTAAAGATTGTCCCGTTATCCACACCAGCATGGAAGGATTATCACTCATCTGCTGTCCTCAGGGAAATTAAATCCCAAATGTGGCACACCTGAGAGAGCTATTGCCACCCAAATACTTCATTCAACCTCCATTTACAGCCTGCCTGGCACCCAGAAAAGAGGGAACCCCAACAACCCCCAAGTTGTTCTCCTCTCACTGGTTTATAACTGGGATTAAAATAAAGCAGCAGGAGATCAGCTTTTAATGCTCACAAGGCCATTCCAAAGGTAAGTCACTGCTATGACTGAGTAAAAAGAGCCAAGAAAAAAAGAGAAATTCAATTTAAAGGAATGCCACAGTGCCTGCAGTTCTCTGTTAACCATCTCCATCTCACAGAATCTTCCCTTTTTCCCTTCCCTCCACAGAAAAGGCTGCATCATGCTAAAGAGAGCAAAATTATGAGAATTCCAATAAGTTCCTAAAACTCCCCAAGTTTTCAAGAGGCAGCTTCCAGAATTGTGTATCACAGATCAAGATAAAACTCTTGAGAATAGATGGAAAAGTTGAATAAAGCTGGAAAAACATCTTGGGGAGGTCTTAGGTCTTTCAGTATTACTGGCTGTTAATGCCAGGATTCCTCCCCAAATCCTGGGTTGAAAGTGTCACAGATCTCTGAAAACACTGAGAATTTTTGTCTTTTCCCAGAGAATTGCTGGTAACTGAGGTTCTGAGCATCTCTGTAGCAGCAAGAGGTGTGATCCGAAAGGAAAATTGAGATTTACCTGATCCTCATCCACCTCGATTGGCTTCTTCTTAATGATCCATGTGACTGATTCAGTGAGGGGGGGAGTGGTCAAGGAGCCAGCGTAGGTCCAGTAATCAGGGCAGGAAGGGATCAGGCATGAGGGATCAAAGACATCAAACTCAATCACAGTGTCCTAAATAGCAGGAAAAAAAACATGTTTAAGGATGGTGTTTTGAGGAAAAAAAACCAGAAGAAAGTTGAAAAAGATCTTGACAGTGAGGTTAAAAACTGTGTGTTGTGTGTGCGTGGGAAATGGGGTGTTGGGAATATTAATAATCTTATTATTTTAATCCCTCAAACTAGTGTAAAACTGGGGTTGAGGTGTAAGGGGCACCTCCTGAGCAGACAGAAGTGAAATATTTCTGCTGTCCCCACAAGCCATTAGGAATTCAGTGCAGGAGAAACAAGGAGTGAGAAGATTCCACAGCCTAAGGCTTTGTGGGAGCTGGATGCAACCAGGAAAAAGAGGGAATAAATGGTGGAATAAATTCAGGTAGCTGTGTCAGATCCTTAAAAGACTGCAAACAAAAAGTGTTTTACTTTTCACCATGTGATTTTAGGCAGCAGGAAGAGGACTGAAATTTTATTTAAATCAAATAGTCCCATCTCCAGAATGTTCATTCACATGTGGGGTATCAGAATGTAGGAGCTTCAAAACCCAGGATCTGACATACAAACATTGCTCCAAGGGGAGTTTGAGGATATACTGGGGGATCTTGGCTAAATCTCTTTTAAATTCACATGCTGTAAATTACTATATTATCACAATAGATGTACATTCAGATTTGGGGAGGTCTTGTGGCACTGAACTGACATGTTTGGTGTTTATCTGGCAGAGCTGTCACTGCTGTGATATAAAAACCTGTTTTATTCGGATTTTAAAAACTCCTTCCTGTGAGAAGCAGTGGCACAGCGACTTCAGCTGGATGAGATTAGAAGCTGAAGAGATCGATGTGGTTTTTTGAGAGTACTTTCAGAAGGGAACGGGCACGGGAAGAAGGAATGTCCATGCTTCTGTCAGACTCAGCGCTCCCTCTCCTGGCAGGAGCCTGCCAGGAACGATCCCATTCCCTCCCGCAGAAAATTCAGTGTTTATAAAAAAGCAAATAACCTCCTCGAAGATCAGACACAAATCAAAAAGCCTTAATCCCACAGTAAATAAACACCCACTTGAAGCATGTCCTTGTAAGGGAAACAGTCTCAAGAGCAGCATTTTTTCAAGAGGTTTGGAAAGCTTCAAGTATCCAATTCCTCCTGAAAAATCAGCTTCCCTTCCCACTTCCAAGGTGGGTAAAATTTAAGGAAGAAAGCTTTTCTGGGTTTTTTGTGGTTCTCCAAGTGTTCTTCCTGCTGAGTGACAATGGGTGGGACACCTCAGAGCACTGACCTTGTGTCTGACTGCTGGCAGGGCATCCACCAGGGTCTGCAGCCCCTCGTGCCGTGCTCCCAGCTGCAGGGACAGGGAGGGATTAGAGAATCAATAAGCTGATCAATAATCAATCAGTTCTACCTACCTATCAGCCTTAGTATTTTTTCATAACAACAATCACAGGATATATAGGGTTGGAAGATCTCTGGAGATCATCCAGCCCAAGGCAGGGGCAGCTGGTGGAACACATCCAGGTGGGTTTGGAATGTCTCCAGACAGGGAGGTTCCATATCCTGCCAGGGCAGCTGTTCCATCCTCAACAGAAAGTTCTTCACATTTTTTAGTTTCTGGCCATTGCTCCTCATCCTGTCACTGGCACCAATGAACAGAGCCTGGCACCATCCTCTGACAGCCCTTGGGAACACTGATATGGATTGATGGGATCCCCTCTCAGCCTTCCCTTAATTACCCTGACCTTTAACAGAATGCAAACAGAAAGGCCTCATCACAGCTGGTCCCACAGAACAAAATTACCTTTAAGAACACTCCAATAACAGCCAGGCCATTCCCTTCCATCACAGCTTCCTCAAAACTCGGGTACTTCACAGCATTCCAGTGCACCAAATGCAGCTGAAAGAGGAGTGAGGGAGAAATCAGCCCCTGCCCAGAGCACAGACACCACACCTGACTCCTGATCCTGGCTGCACTTGCTCCTTGGCAGGGTGAGGCACTGCAGGGAGCTGCTCAGAAACCACAGAAATGAGGAACAAAGTGCTCTTGGTGCATAATGGTCCTTCCCTTCCTTTTTTCTCTTTTGCTTTAAACAATAGTTAAGACCCACTGCATTTAAGAGATTTCGTCTGTGGCAGTCTGCCTCCAGGAATGCTGGTCAAAGGCACAGACAAAGCCCAGTCTTCCATCTCTTTCCTCTCTTCCCAGGAGGAGCAGAGCACCCTGTCCTCCTGAGAAACATCCTGCATACAACAATCTTCCTCTGCACTGCTGACAGCCAAGACATTGAGGGGTTTGTGTGAAAAATAAATACCCCAGCCCAAAAACCGAGTCACAGCCTCCCTGTTACTGAGGATCTTGCCCAGCTGGCAGCACCACCATGAACACACCAACAGGAGAGAAACTCTCCTTAAAAATAACCCATCATCACTTGACAAATTCTTCTCCTTTGGCAAAGAGCTGTGGTCAAAGCTGTCACAGTTTCACATTTTCACTGACTTACTCCTTTTTATTGACGTTTTCTTCCTTAGCAGTTACTTAAGCATCAAAGTTTTGCTATTTTAGTAACTGTTCATCAGTTGCAAACAGAAAATAAAGTGATGTTTTTAAGAGTATATGTTATTGTTACTAAATTTTTCAGAGAAATAAACAAAGTGATTTTGCACTTTCAGCAATGGGGCCAATGTCCAGTTTTCAGGGTGTTCTTCTCCAGGAAACACAGTGGAGATTAATTTTTATAGAATAAAACAGCAGATGAGGTGTAGCGCTTCAAAATAAACCACAACTCCTCAATTTGGGAGTTTTCACAGACACCTGAGACATTTGCATTGTTGAGGATTTCATCTCATACCTCTGCTGGGTAAAATTTACAGTCAACTGTGTGCTCTGAGCCCCAGTCATTGACAGCTCCCCAGTGGAAGTGGAACTGCTTTAGCCTGTACTGGTTTTCCAAGGGGCCTCCAACGATGACTAGAAAACAAAACAGGACACACATGTTAATAAATATGATTTAGAATTGGCCAGACAAGTAAATCCTCGGAAAAAAAATTGCCCATGATAAAGTGTCAGGTGGAGCAACTCAAACAGTGCCTATCTACACTCTGCCATAACCAAATCACTCAATCAAGCACACACATTGTGGTTTTCCCTGCACCAAACGGGAGATGAGTGAAGTCTCCTCATCCATCTCCCCTGAGGGAATGTTTTCCCAGTTGACAACAAGTTTGGCACAGTCACAGTGATGAGTGTCACGTTCTCACCCCTCTGTCAGAGCAGGAGTGTCAGGGCTGCCTGACCAGGTGACACATCTATTAAATGTATTCAATGACATCCCTACAAGGATCTGTGAAAAATGTTGACATTTCTCATGACAAGACTTCAAAAAGCAAATATTGCCAGACAAATCAGTATATTGAGTCAAACATTCAAGCCTCCTGAAAGCTACAAAAATCCAAACATCTTATTCTGCTTCAGCACAGCTTCCAGACTGCACAAGCAAAGGTCAGCCAGAAATATGTTTTGTTGTGCCTACAAGCTGTTCAGGAAGGATTTAAACATCCAGACTGCCACTGGGCAAGTTTCTGGAAGATTTAATGCCCTTTTCATCAATGAGTAAAGGTAAAACTTCAGTCTGCTCTCCTGATTTCAGAAGGCCTCTCAGCCTTCTGCAAACACATGAATGAAGTCCATGCCCAGCTTTTTGCTTCCACTCATTCCCTCCTAGCTGGACCAAAACCATCCTGCAAAGTCATCTTGCTAATTATGAAATGAGAACATCTGGTAAATGAGAAACCCTAATTGCTTCCCAAGGGCTAATAACACTTACGGAATCAGGGAACCATTTAGGTTGGAAAAGAGCTTTTCCAAGGGTTCATCCAGCACTAAACCATCAGCATCTGCTGATTTTTACTGAACTGTAGGACATGGGAAAGTTCTACAGCAAACTTTGGTATAAAGCACCTAATCCCAACACTGCATTTGGAAATAAGTTAATCACTTCCATGCTAAGGAGAAAACAATGAGGGGCATTAAGAGATTTTCTTGTTTTGTTTTTTTTTTTCCTGAAAGCCAGCCAGCAGATTTGAAATCCTAACCAGACAGGCCTGTCTGTGAAAAAGGAATAAATTAAAAGGAGCTGTGCAGAGTGACATTGAATTAATTTCATCCCCTGCTGCTGAGCTCTGGGCATGATTGCAATGCTGACCATCACTGGGAAATCACAATGCCCATCCCTGGCAGTGCCCAAGGCCAGGCTGGACAGGGTTTGGAGCAGCCTGGGGTAGTGGAGGGGGTGCCTGCCCGTGGCAGGGGGGGAATGGGATCAGCTTTAAGGTCCTTCCCACCCAAACCATGCTGGGGTTCTGTGCTGGAGAAGGGGTGGGATAAACATGTGGGTCACACAGCCAAGCCTCTCAGAAGTGCAGTTTCTGTTCTAACGCGATCCACTCCTGTGTATGTGATGATGCAAACTCACAAATGACTAAAAATTTGTGTTATTAACGACATCCACTTGAATATTTGCCTCACTAATAACTTTAGGCACAGACACACATATGGAGAGACTCAAGTTCCTGTAGCAGCCACCAGAAAGTGACAGGAAACAAACAGGAACTTGAGTCCCTTGGGAAGCATTTCTCCTCAAATTACAACCTTGACAATTTCAAAGCAAAACTGAAGTTTAAGGGGCTCTAACAATAAGAACCACTTCAGGTGTCTCTTGCAGCTCTGGCTCTGTTTCAGCCTCGTTTCTGGTGGCACCACAGACAGACAGACCACATGCTGTACATACCTTCCCCTCACCCTCTTCTTCCTCCTGCTCTACCTTCAGCTTTAGCCCAAGTCTTGCAAACCCCATCTCAGGATTCAGGCATTTCTGTCTATCCTGGGTGTCTTTCTCATCTTCTGTTTCGACTGTGGTGCTTTGGTTTGTTCCCAAGCTTTCTCCTCTGGATTTCTATGATTGTTAGACAGAAGCTGGCAGTGAGAAAAACCAGAAAGAGAGAAAGGTGGAGGAGAGAGGCAGGCACCTGAAAACTGGGGGTTACACAGCAACACCTCACTGTCTGTTGCTCCTCTGTCACTGACTGATTGATGCCACCCTACCCTTGATGGACTTTAATTCATTTAAGGAAGATGAGGATGATGAGAAGGCAGCAAATGCTCACAGGGAAAGATTTACCTGAAGGAAAGTCTCACAGACAAAGCAGGTAAGATCTTCCAGAGGTGAGCACCAGTCTCAAAGGCCTGGTGATTCCAGCCTTGTGCCTTTATTGCACAAAAACTGTGCCTGTGCAATTAAATATTGCATAATTCTGAATCTTCTACAGACAACTCCCCTTTCCACTAAACACTTTTCAGGATCTTGTCCTCAACAGATAGTGGGGTGTGGCTTATAAAGGAAGAGGCTGTTTAATGAAAAGCAAAGCCAATCTAAAGTTAGTAAATTAAAACCACTGATGAGGTAACAAGTGATGTCTGTCCCCTAACCCAACCTCATTGAAAAAAACAGCACTTTCATGATATCAGTGCTTAAATGAGCAAGGGCAAGGATATTCCCTATTCCAAATGGATTATTCCCTCTTGCAAATGATATTCCAAGTGAACAGCTAGAAACAAGAAAAGAAAAACGAGTCCCAAACATCACACAAGCTCCCTGCATTCCACCACCACCGTTTTTTGCTGCAGTGTTTTATCAGCGTCTTCCCAAACATCAACCACAAATGTTGGTGTTGTGAAGACAAAGTGTTTGTTTGTGTGCTGGAGGCTCCCTCCCCAAGGGCATTGCTGAATCCCTCAGGAAGCTGGAGGAGCTCTCATGGTGAGCAGCCATATAAACATAAATTACTCCAAAATCCAACAGGTTCAAACTTGCTCGGGGTCCTTCAGTTTTGCCCTGCAGGACAAGCTGAGCAATCCTGTGCTTCACAACAGCTCTGACCAATTGCTAGCAGCTCACCCACCCTTATGAAATACCTTCATATTCTGCAATAGCCTTTGGTAAAAGGCAGCTTTTAGAAGGAACAGTGGACAGAAAATCTGAGATTTGGGAGCAATATCTTGATTTTAAGTCAATTTTTTTACTCTATTGAGCCTTTAAAAAGGTTGTGCCGCTCAGGTCAGAGGTTTATTCACATGAAATTGCTGGAATGCACGGTTGGATTTTCCATGCTCTCTTGCTTCCCCTAAAACAACAGGGACACACACACCTGCTCCCGAGGGCAGAGCTCAGTGTTATTGCATTCCCTAAAACCCCACGGAGATAAGCCTGTGTGCTTTCCAACTGCAACTCATTTGGCTGCTGATTATTTCAAGTGCAGTAAATATCTTTATTAACACCAGAAAAGATAAGTGGCAGATTACTTCAATAAAAAGCAGTGAGGGAATAGGTTTCAAATTGAGTAGGTAGACATAGAAATGACTGCAGATTGACTCGTGTGGGTAAAGTTTATTACAAAACCTACAGCAGGGCACTGAGGCTTGTGAAAGGAGTTTCAACACACAGCAGGGGATTTGTGCACAATGCCCATGGTAATAAAAACACTGTAAATGTGAAGCCTATATGGAATTTCTTCATCGTGATTCCCACCACTTTAAACCCAGCATTTTTACTGTACTTTCATTTTCAACATCAGGTCTTACATCACACAAGTATTTCTCCTCTCTTGCATTAACAAGACATTAAATAGATTCTTTTTCTTCCCTGAGTTTTTACTTACTTGATCTGTCAGTAGAATCATCAAACTCCACCAGGAAGGAGTAGCCATTGTTCCAGATGTGAAGACAGGTGGTGGGGTCGTAGCTGATTTTCAGAGGCTTCAGGAAGGGATCATAAACACTGTCCCTCCACTGGATGTTGATGGGAGACTGGCGGGTGCCTCCGGGAATTGTCAGCGGGCTCTGCCACAGCGGATGCACTGCAAGACGAGGGGCAGAGTCAGGCTGATGCAGGATACAGAACTTTCTGGCAAGGGAAGGTGCTGTGTCACCAAAGGCTAATTCGAGTCAGCTGGTGCCCAGGAAAGCAAAAGAAAAATAAAACATTCCAGCTGCATGACTCAAAGGCACACAAGGAAGCGCAGTAATTTGACTTAGAACCATGTCAGTACCTTCTGCCTTTGCAGAATGCTCTGCAAAGAAATTGTCCCCTTATCTGCCAGAAAGAGAGAATGTTTTCCTATTATTGCCAGGCTTTAAGGCAGCTTTGTTTTACAGCTTTCTTTACACACCAGCACCATCAGCTGAGCTGGGAGCGCTCCAGACATGGGATAATTCCCACTGGGAAGCAAAACATTCTCTAGAAGAAAACACAAGCACAGGGGTTACTCCACAAAGGGGGGTTCAGAGCTCCTGCACAGGAGCTGACCCTAACCACACCGATCCTGACCAAACTGCTTCGTGCAGACGGCTCCTGCTGATCCCACACCTGTCAAACCCAAACCCAGCAATTTTGGGGCAGCTTGGGTCCCTCAAACTGGCACAAGCAGGACAGGTACATGAATGGTTTCCACAGGACTTTATTCTGCTTAAAACCAGCACTGCCGCCTGTGTTCACACCGCGACCCGCACACAGTGCCTCTGCCCAGCCCCAAATCGTGATGCTTCGAGCATCACTTTACAGGCTACTTCACTAAATACGACTGCTCAGGGTCTTGTAAACGAGCAGCTGAAAAAAAAAAAAAAATTAAACCTTCAAACCACTCACACAAGAGGTGGCCGAAAAACTTCCCTCCCGCCCCGGTTTCCCCTCAGTGAGGCGCAAACTGCGGAGCTCCGTAAGGTCAACTCAGGCAAAGGCGGCACAAAACACTCCCTATGTTTCAAACAGTCACTTCCTGATGTTTCAGCCGGGGACAAAGCCAGGCTCGGCGTCCCTTTCCCACACAAAGTTGGGCAGCGCGGGGCGCTGGCAGCGATGGCGGGACAGCGGCAGGGCGGGCAGGGGGGCTGAGGGAGAGCGGCACTCACGGGCGTCTCGCAGGCGGTAGGAGCAGCAGGCGCCGAGGCTGCACCGGCGGCTGCCCCGCCGTGAGGAGGAGGACGACGAGGAGGAGGAGGAGGTGACGGCGGCCGCCCAAGCGCGGCGGAGCAGCGGCAGCATCGCGGCGGAGATCGCGGAGCCGCCGCCCAGCCCGGCCCGGCCCGGCGCGGCCCCTTCCGGCACGGCCTCCCCGCCATGGCCCGGAGGCGGGTTGGGCCTGCCCTCGGCGGCCGCTGAGCCTGTGACAGCCCCGGAGCAGCGGGAGCAGCTCCGTGCCGGGTGGGGATGGGCATTTCCCGTGCTCAGGGTGGTCCCCATGGCCCTGTCAAAAGCGCGTCCCCTCACAGCAAGCGTGGCCCTTCACATCAAAAGGGATTCCTTCGCACCGAGAACACCCCCTCAAAAAGAGTATCGCCTCAACCAAAAAAGCGTCCCCTCACGCCAAAATAGTGTTTACTCCCTCACACCGAAGCGATTCTCCTTTATCAAGTGCTTTCCTTCACAGAGTATTTATTCCCTCACATCAAAAGTGATTCTTTCACAAGAGTACATCCCCTCACACCCAATGAGCATCATCTCACCCAAAAAAGCACTCCCTCACATCAAAAGTGCATCCCCTCACACCAAAATAGTATTTACTCCCTCACACCAAAGTGTTTCTCCTCACACCAAGTGCATCCCCTAACGTCAAAAGTGCATCCCCTCACACCAAAGTAGTATTTATTCCCTCGCACCAAAGTGTTTCTCCTCACACCAAATGCATCCCCTAACGTCAAAAAAGTGTTTATTCCCTCACACGCAGGAACAAAAAATTGCACAGAGGTGAGTGGCCCTGGCAGCAGGGTCCCCTCTCCAAGCCACACATGGAAAAGTTATGAAAAGTTAATATTTGTGGTTACTTTTCTTGGCTGGCCCAATGGCAAGAGGCCAAAATAGTCCCACCTTGGATGGTGAAAGGGTCAACTGAACTGAACTCAGTATTCACCTGATACTGCCTGAGGCAGAGAAATCTCAATGAAACTGGCTAAAACCTTCATCACTCCTTCTGTTCCAGCTGCCAGTAAAAAACACATAGCAAAAAATAAAACTAAAGAAGAAAAGGAAAGCCTGTAGAAAGCTGAAAGCACAGAGATAAAGCAAGAGCTCTAATTTTTGCCAGTCCTCCTTGGGCAGCCAGGAGCAGAACACGTCACTTAGATCCTGACCTTCATCTTGCTGCACAATCATATTTCTTAATTACTCTTAGAATAATTTTTAAAATCTTCATTTCTCTTTTGGGGATTTTTTTTTTTTATCTTGTACTTTTGAATTTTCACAAGGAACCTGATGTAACACTGAGAATGTTTTACTGAAATGAAGACAGGACCAACTAGAGTCAACCAAGAAGTGTTTACCCTGTTTTACCAACATTGCATAAGAAGTTTCCATTGCATTCACAGTATAATATGTTTAAAGTACTGAGTTGAGTAAGAGCAGGTTGAAATTTGACCAACGATTTGCTTTGAGTGGCTGCATGATCACAAACAGCTCATAAGGAGATGTACAAACAGCTTGTGATGTCAGGATGTTAAACTCGGTTTAAATTTCATTTTACTTCCTCCCTGCAGAATCTTTTTTTGTAGCAAACCCGCAAGCAAATGAATTTTGGGTTTGACTCCCAACATTTTTTAGGGTGGCTAATTTACTATTCTCAACAGAATGCTTCCTGTAGCTTAAAAAGATGGATAATCAAGGAGATTGAAAAGAACTGCTGCCCTTGAACATCATGATCCAGTCAGGCTTAATCACAGTTTAACAGCCTATTGCTCATGGTTAGACAACTCTTTAGGCAGATCCTGGTCATCAGGCCAGCCCAGATGAGCTTCAGGTGTTTTATATTCAGCATAAACAAGAGATACTGGGGCTTATTCTCATCTACCAACAAACTGCTCTCATCCCTCCACCATTCCCTTCCCATTCTTCCAGGATGTGTCCTCTAAATACAACTGATAACCTTGGGCAGCTTGGAAATTATGTCTACACCTGGTTGTGAAATTATAGAAAATCACAGAAAATCACAAGCACAGAAAATTACAACCATCCCTTTTCTGTATATTGAAGCAGATGAAATAAAAAAGCCTCGAATTCCACTGCTTTGCATTCTGCCGCCATTGAGACAACCCAACTTCATGAAGCTTTTTGGTGGTTTGATGCTGCAAAATTTTGAAAAATTTAGAGTTTTTGATGAAGCTGAACAGCACAAGTCACTTCTTGTGGGCTGAACTGCACAACAAAAAGGAAGTTTATGGCACACTGTCAGAAATGATGGGCTGGTGAGGTACAAAACTAAAGAGAAATAACTTAGACCTGCAACACTTATTTCCCTCCTGTATCACTCACAGAATCTCCATCCAGTTTTTACATGCACATGCTACTTTTTCCTGAGCAGGAAGTTCAGTAAAACTTCACAGTGGGACCAAGATCCAGATGAAAATAAAAGTTTTAATCTTTGAAAAGAAAAATATCTGTTGAATCAAGTGCTTTGATTTCTTTACAAATGAGATAAACCAGGGCAAACAGTAGGAAGAGCAGCAAAACCCCACCCAGGGGAAGGAAATAAAGCCCTGTTTGCCACAGCAACACATTCTGAACAAGAAAATAAAATATACATGTTGCTGAAACTCAGTAAAAAACCGTTTTAAACTTTAAAGGTTCACAGTTCTGCTTCAGCCACTGGGACCAAATATTGCAGAGGAAATCCAAGATAGGTTGATTTCCTTGAAGCTTTTTTGGTCTGAATCAAGATTTTGGAGGATAACAGCGCTGCTTGGCTCAGGCCCACCGTGACAAGGTGCTGAAAGTTCTGAATTGATGTCAGATGGGGGCTGTGATTTAGGCCAGTTTATTGATAAACAGCTCAGAGCTTTTTATCAAACAGATGTAGCTGACAGGGTGCTCCCAGCTCGACAGGGGAGCACTGCAGATTGGGAAATGCTGGGTTTTCCTCTGCCTCCACAGTGTTTGGCTGAGATAGGAGCCTGGCTGAGGAGGCAGCGGCTGAGCCCAGATAAGGGGGAGGTAATTCCAGCTGGCGAGGTAAAGCAAACAGAGGCTTTATCTACTCCTGTATAAAAAAAAAAAAAAAAATTTGCTGAAATTATGCATGCAGGCTTAGGAACTCGGCGTGGAAAGGGCTTGGAAGAAAACTCCTGGACAATTTGGGGAGGCAGTGCAGTTATATGTGCAGGCCTGGAGATGGCACACCTGGATTGTGTGGCTCTGCAGGACTTGTACAATTCTTTGGGGAACAAAAAACCCCAAAACTTGAAGGATTCTGCTTTTCTTGTAACTACTTCTAAAAGGGCAAGAAAGGAAAAATGCCTTTCAGACCTGCTCTGCTAATAATTACTAAATTGGGCATAAAAATCCCCATGGAGAGCATTTCCAGCAATTATTCTAAAAAATGAATGCCCAAACCCTCCAGGTGTCATTGCAAGATACCTCAGAGCTTGGCACAGACACTCCCTGGTCCTCCACACTGCTGGGTATTTTGACATCCGTGCCACAATTCTCCCCAGTGGTTCTACAGTGAAGTGCAGGAAAAGCCCTTTGTCCTTGCAGGGTCAACAAGGGGAATCCAAAAGCTGCAGAAACTGTCATCCTTTGAGTTGTCTAAACCTGGTGTGAGTAACTGCGGAGTAACCCCCAGGCTGCCTCGCTCAGAGCTCCTGTCCCTGCCAAAACCAGCCATTCCAAAGACAGGGATTTCCCAAATCAGTTTGTTTTGGCATTTCCTGCACGAATGGCACAGAGGAGAGAAAGGTTGAAGGAGTCAACACTATCTAGCTCAAAATGAAAAGAGGAATGTGAATAAAAATAACTACCAGTTGTGTCTCATTGAGTCAGCAGTGGTGCTTGGACAGAACAAAGTGTCTGATTTCTCCTTGGAATGGGATCCCCTCTTACCCTGGGTAACCATGAAATGTTCGAGGAGGAACCCAGTTCTGTTCTTTGGCAGAAGTTATTATGCTGAACAAATTTACAGAGGAAAAAAATAAGAAACAAAAGGTTTTTCTAGCTATAAGAAATTACTCTTTGCTATTCTCCAGCTGACATTATCTGCACAGCAGTGAGTAGACAATCTCTGGCTGGCCACATATTATCTGAAAGCAAGTTAATCAGTATTTTAAATAACTAAATCCTTAACATCCTCCAGGAGTATCTTGCACTGCAAAGTGAATTATTGGAGGTCTGTACAGCACATTTGGAGGGGTTTGTGGCTTGTTCTGGGCCTCATTTTCCAAATCAAACATTGCAGTGGCTATGAAATTCCAAGTCAGAATCAATTTGTGCTAAATGTGTTTTGAATTATCCTCATGAACGGTTTTCATTGAAAGCAGCCAAGCCTCCCAAGTAACGATTGCTTTTTGTCACAGGTTGGAGTCACAAAAATCCCAGTGCCACTGACAGCAGAAATAAAGAACAAGGCGGAACCCTGAAATTTCACAAAGTATTTTCACTTTCAATAATCTTTTCCTTCAATCTTTCAGCCACATTCCCAAATCCCCCTTTTTAATTCGCCAGCAAATAAGAACAACACTCAACCCCACCACCTCCCTTCCCAGCCCAGCCTCTCCCATTTTTCACCGATTTGGAGGAGAAGCGGTGACTTACAGGCAGCGTTCCTGGTGTTTTTCCGGGAGCAGGCAGCCAGGCTGCAGGGCCGTGCTGGCACAGCCCGGAGGGTTTTCAGCAGCTTGGAGAGACGCCCCAGGGCTCTCACCTTCACCCCACTCATCGCCGCCAGGGCACTCCAAACCTTCACTGCTCCCTCAGCCTAACAGCCCATCAGCACCGCAGAGAATCAATCCCACGTGGATGCAGAGCTCCACTGATGGTGCCCAGGCTTCTTTATAAATAATTTTGAGAGCACCCTTTGCTGGTTAAGAGGTGGAGCCGGCCCAGGAGTTAATTTTCAACTTGTCCCTGCACTGTCTTCTTCATTGGCTCTCCATTCTCTCCAGAGGCTGGCTAGTTGATGATTATTCCACATGGGCTTCCCAGAGGTGTTTTCCCCCCCTCATCTTGTTCCAAGAACAAAAAAGGATTGCAGGAAACTCCTGTTTGGTATGCAAGGAGAAAGTTCTTATCGCTCCTTGGTGTATACAGGCTGTGAATT